CATGAAAATTCACCAAAACCATTCATTTAATCAGGAAAAGTTTCACCCAGCTTATACCCTACGCTTAGGTAACATTGTAGCTTAAGAATTTAGGTGGTGGAAAATTGGAAATTAAAGGTCTTTCAATTGGGGGCAATGAATTGATATTGAAGCAAAAATTTCACCCAACTCACATCAGTTGGATCAAACAAACTACTCCTAATCCAACGATCCAAATGATTTCAAACACCCAACTCTACATCTAACCCTGTCAGATGAAGTGGTTAAACTTGGCAAAACAAATCACAGTAAATTACCAAAGAAGATAATGAATGTATGGCTTTCTACTCCTACAGTTCAATGCAATAATGAATGTATGGCTATATTCTCATGATTTTTGCTGATTCATGAAGTTGAGTGTGGATCAGAGTAAATACAGAATTTCTCTGCTGATTTCCATCCTGTTTCCTCCAGACACCTCAAGCCTTTACTGTTCTCATCATAGACACAAATGCAAGGATTTATGCATGCCATCCGCTAAGATTGTCGTTGATCCTTGTTGAATACGGTCACAACTTCGGAAAGTGTATCTGTAGGTTCTCCTTTACCTTGAGCTTTTTGAAGTTTAAGGTTATCAATCACTCGGAAAATGAAGACAGAAGCAAGAATTTAAGCAATAGGGTATGTGGTACTTAATAATGAAGCATCATACTCTGCTATAGGTTGATACCAAGGTAAATTCTTTTCTTTTTTTTTTTATAATAATATGATACCCACTCTCGCCCCAAGGCCTGGACACCCAAGAGACATTAAGAATTTTTGTATTAAGCTCGCCGAAAGGTTCAACTTAAGACCTCTAAGCCAGTATGACCAAGAGATCACAAATTCTTGCTAACCCAGCTGCCTCTTGGGGATCGATACCAAGTAAATTAAATAAAAGAGTGAGAGTTCACCAGTTCTGTCTGTGCTTCTTCATATTTTCTCCCAACTTTCTCAGATCTTGTTCATCACCAGTTCAGTGCTTATATACAGCGTTTATAAATGCAATCACAGACCAAGGCTGCTCTAGAATCGAAACAAATGTGAAAATTTTCATTCAAGTTCACAAAAATTTATCAGATAATGTACCCTGCTGGTAGAGATTTAATGATCAATTACCCACTTTAATGCAGCATGTCCAGAGCATGCAAAGACATATAAAGTTCTGCACTCCGTCCATTGATCTATAGCTTTCAGCAGACAAACAATAACTTGATTCTAGTCAATTTCAGCAATATCAGGGGCTTCATCCTAAGAAAGAGGCCTGGTCCTCAAAACTTCTTAATGAAATTCATTTCTTAAACTCCTATAAGCCTCCTCATCTATATTTATTATCTACGGAGTTCAGCTATTTAACTCTTTTGAGCTAAGGCACACAGGTCATCAGGCAGATTTAAGTGAGATATGCAAATTACAAGTATTTCAATCATGGCAAATAAACCATCCAGTTTTCCAATTTAGACGATAAGGCCATTCATTGTTAAGTTTCTACTCTGGAAAGTACTACAATAGCAACAAACTCACAGTAGTATAGTACAAAGAAACCTAAAATCTATGAACTTTAAATGATCTATAACCTTCTCCCTCATGATTTAAGTTTCCATCCCTCCATCTTCAACTTCAACTTCAACATATTTCTATTTTTGGTTATCTTCATGCATAGGTTGTTGTACACAAGGTTTTAGAAGTCTCACGTATTGACCTTAATCTAGAACTTAGCTAGTTTCTTCCTATCTGGCAACTCAAGAACATTATAAGTTTAGGTGTTAAAAATTGCCCTAATTGAGAATATAATGGACTATTTACACATCCTACACCAAAGTAAATCAATGGTATTCTGTATGGACCTCATCTGGCCTTTTGATACGTGATTCCTAGACATGTAGGTATGCTTTCAAAAAACGCATAAGAATGAACTTACACTAGCATTCCTCTCAGAACCAAATGTCTTCTTTATATTTATGACTATATAAATACCTTATGGAGCTAATCATCCGTCCAATTCAATTGGTTCTTTGAGAGAATCTTTTAAATATCAGTTCAATATGAGCCGAGCTAACTTACACTTCAACCTCCCACTAAAACTAGAACGCAAGAAGTGGCTATAACTATTCTTAAGAAAATCGCTCTTAGATTATAACCAAGTACGATTCATCAAATGGGTACTACATTCTTGAGTCTATACTCCTCAACAATCATCTAAAATTAGGCTTCCCAATAATTCTTCTACAGTTCTACTCATCAGTAATTAGTCACAAACAGAGCGATGACCATTGAGAAATCTTGGATTATTATGAACAAACATGGACAAAGTATGTTAATTGTTTTGGACAAACAATAATTTCTTATTCAGATCAGAATACAAGAATCAAGTAGCATTTATCTTCACAATGGAATGCAAGCTCACGGGCATCGCTCTATGCCATCCACCTCGCACCCCCATCCTCCCTCCAAGTAAAAGATAAACATAACAAGTAGTTCACACAACAGCCATGGAAGAGTAACCAATTTTGGAATCTTCTGATTCGACATGTATTAGATGACTAAATTTACCTCTCTTGATTCGTTTATTATACAGAGCCACATCGATAATCGAGAAAGTTAATTAGCTCAAAAGAAAAACCCTCGAGCAATTCTCTACATTACAAAGGTAAGAGTAAATGATGTAAATAGAAGAAGAGCAGACCTTAAAAAGGTTGATAATAATACTGCACAAGGGAGCTTGGTATTAATACTGAGATCGGGAAAACAGTAATTGCCTTGGTCTGATGATTCAATAGAATGAAGAAGATCAGTAATGACAAGCCTGATTAAATGTATTCAAATTCTTCCTCCCTGAGATGCGCTAAGAACTTCACCGGCGGACGGCCTTCAACCGGAACAACAAACTCCACCTTATACGGAAGATTAGCAGACACGCGCTTCCCCTTCCAAACGCGCACGTAGTCCTTCACCACTCCTTCCATCCCATTAATATCCACCTCCGGTAACTTAGCTACATGATAAACCTTCAATGGCACCGTAACCCTAACTCTGGCTCCAATTCTAGCGGCGGCCGCTTCGTCCGTCTCCTCCGCCGACAACGACGTCGTCGCCGCCGAAACAGCCGTAGCTGAAGACGAAGTTCCGGAATCTGATCTGACTGTAACCTCGCTACAGATTCTTCTCCCTCTTCTGATCGAGCAGTTGAAAGGATTAACAACAACTGACGACAAAGAAACAGTGGACAAGGAATAGGACGATTTGGTATCAGCACTTGAGAATACCGGCATAGAACAGGCGGGACGAGCGGCCGCCGGCGCCGGCGCCGACGGGGATATCACGCCGATACTGCTCGCGATATTAATCATTTCTTGAGTCGCCGGAGGATGCTTCGCCGAAGATGGAAATGTTTTTTTTGAGAATTTTAATACTTACAGAAAATTTCCTCTTTCCCTTTAATTTTGTATTAATTTATTGCCGCGCCACACAACCCCATTAGATATTTTTTTTTTCTTTCTTTTTTTAATGGAGAAAGGAACTTTTTTTCCCCTCCTTATCTGGAACAAGAGAATCTAAACGATGCCACGTGTACTTCCTTATCTTGTGGACATGTGAATGTGTGATTATCGCGCTGTCGTACTCCGTTTCTCTGTTACGACAAATCGTTCTTCGGATTGATTTAGCATTTCATTTATATATCTAAATCTAATGCTAATATAGTTTTAGAAAGTATATATTCAAAAAAAAAAAAAAAAAGAACTCTATATGATTTAAATTTTACTATAAACTTTACCAATCTACATTCTTATCTATTGTTATTATACCAAAAACTTTACCAAAAACTCTATAAGAGGGCTTTCAATTAAAAATGTCTAAATTTAAAATTTTTAAAAATTATAAATCTAATATTGTAAAATGGTCACTTAGAGCTATTTTTAGAATGGGCTCAAGTGACCTGTTTGATTCTAAACAATTTAGAAATCAAAAACAAGTGAAACAAAAACATCACTCAACAAATTCACTTAATTTAATAATTTAATGAGTTATCATCCGTAAATATATGATCTAAACTCAATTAATTAAGACACCAAAAACCATTATAGAAGTTTAAATCTCCACTCTTTGAACTTAAAAAAATCCATCCGATAAACATGGATCACATCTCATATGGATAACTACTCCATGTCAACAAATGGCCTTTTTATAAGTGGAAAAAAAAACAACTCTAAATGAAGGCCTCTCTAGTCCACATAACCTCAACAATCAACCAATAGCCAGCTAAACAAATGATATACTTTACATGTATCTCTCAAGAAATACGTCAAATCTTTCGAACTACAGATGAATATACGCGTCTAAGAACTCGCTATGATTGATATAGACATTGCTAACTAGCACATAAGGGGGGAATTGGAAGTAGGAGAAAAGGGACGGCAGACCAAAAGCTCACAATCACGTATATACAATATTAGTATCTCCAGAAAACTTGTGAAGAATGTAAATAGAACTAAATCGAGTCGACGGGGCATCGTGTGTGCAGCCTTATAGCTTCTTGTACAATGAAAATGATGATGGGGGTACAAAATACACAACAGGGGAGTTCAAGAGGGATAGAATAGCGCGGGACAACGCGCGACGAGTTTCTAAACAAAAGATTTACAGAGACCTCAGGTTTGTTCAAAGCTAGAATAGAACTGTGAGACGGTAGGGAAGGAGGTAGGTGGGTAGGAAAATAATGCACAAAGATTCTCTATTATGGGATTATAAGGATTGCTCCGCATGTTACACAACCACACGACAAAAAACGCCAAAATGTTGTCACCATAATTCATCAAGGATGTTTGAAGATGACGACTCAGTTAAACGTGAATGCGATCGTCAGTCAGTGGCACATCAAAATATTTCAGATAAGAGAGGATTACTTGGTTATACGTGATGGCCAGGAAATCGACCAATAAGTCTGCATTGTTCTGGAAGCAGAGAAGAAACGACTTGGCCAGTGAGTGGGAAAAGCTCGCCATCAATCCCGCAGCCATTGTGTGTATGCTTACCTGGCTTGATCTTCACCGACTTCACCTGGATCGAGAACAAACAATGTTATAGGTCACAGAAGCTCAACTGCCTAAAAGCTTACCCTTATAGATTCACTGAAATTGCAGCTGGATGAAACTTTACAAGTTCTTTCACTTTCACCCTTCCCAAAGTCCTAATTACAGTCGCGAAATGCAAGGCAAAATGGGAAGGAATAACTACAAACCTTGACATATTCGACAAATGGCAGAGAAAGGTGTCGACCGATCTGAAGCAGCAAAAAAAATCGCAACAGCCTGAGTCGCCCACTCCCATGAACCAAAACCAAGTCAAGAGTATTGTCATCATGCTCAGATCTTGGGGCCACTACCTGAGAACTCTGAACAGTTCTACAAGCATGGTTGCAAACTATGATTCCAACAAATTGCCCCTTTTTAGTAACCCATTTATCTTCGACCACATGCACGTGCTCTGTTGGACCTTCTTCTGCATCATTTGTTGGACCTGGCAATTCAATTGGATGTTCAATAACCCAATTAGGCTCAGTGTCCCACTTTGGTTCTGCATCCCAAATCGGACCAGGATCAGATAGTGTTGAAGATATATCCTCTCTGTCATTAGCAGCATTGCCCCAAGAGCATCTTGTGGTATCTTGTGTGGTTATCAAACCAGTCCATCCCTTGTCTGTTCTGGACTTAGACCTTGTTCTTGGCCAGTTGGGAGTGGTGGAGAAGGGTGGCTGCGGATGAATAACTTCAGGCTCCGCAGTTACATTAACATTGCTCCTTCCTGATGAAAGACGCTTGGTTTTAGGGTCGAGACCACGCACATACTCAGATGGTTCAGTGCTAGCACGAGTGCTACTACAGGTTGTATCCAAGTCTCCTCCAGACATTCGACTAGGAGTCATTATTGAATCAATGCTTGATAGACTAGAGGCCCTGGGGATGCCCTCTTTGCTTGATCTTCTCATTATATCTGTGTATAAATCAGACATGTCGACAACTTCGCGTTCAGCAGCACATTTCCCTTCATCCTCTAATGATGCTGGAAGGTATTCCACTTCAAAACTGTACTTCGGTAAGCATAAGAATTTGAGGAATCCCGCAACGAAGTAACGTAGAGGACCAAATCGCTTCTGATACTTTTCAGAAAGCTCCAGAACTGTAACAAATGGACAATTCACATCATTTTCTCTTACAAAAACAAAATCCATTTCATTCAAAAGAAAATTTATCAAAGGAAGTTTGTTTGTTATAAGGAACAGAAAAGTTACATTTACAAAAGTTGGCGTAAGATATCCAACTGAAGGCAGCCAGCCTCTACTCAAAAGCCATCCGCAGCATTACATACCACAAATTTATCTACCAAAAATGGAGAAATATTTTTGGAACCTCAGGTAATAAAAACTTATTATCAAGTTTATTAACCACTGGCCGCCAAAAATTAAGAGAGAGGATGAGAAGGAAATCCAAAACAAGTCTTCTTCAATCTAATTAGAACTAACTTCAGTGAAATGGTTCTGCGTCACTTTCAGAAACCCCACTGATATTTGCAGAAAAGGTTCTTCAGAGAAATAAGAAGGTTTGTGGGTTATGTGAAGGTGTATAAGTTGAACAATCAAGCAAGGACATTTTGCACTATGGTCCGTGAAGACTTCAATAAAAGCAGATAGTTGTCTTTTGGAAAACTTCCTCATTTAGCATAAGATTACGTTCTCGGAAGTACACAAGCAAGTGCCTTAACATAGGGTTGGGGTAGCAAAAATTTATAGAAGTTTGTTTCTCCTGCAGTGATTCGAATGCTCAACTCAACCTAAGCTTTCTTATAGGAACTTCTGGACCAGTAGCCTGGTACCAAGAACTTGAAAGAATTTACACCATAAAGGGTGTGAATTGACAAGAGAGCAACGAATGATGTATATCATGCAACGCTGTAAGGTAAGGTAACTTCATTTTAAAGCAGGAAGTATAAAAATTGATAGCAATAGGAGCAAGGGGAAAGAAACGCCAATAAAGGAAGCATGGCCCTCATTCACCTCACCCTCCTAGAGGGAATTCAACATTAGTTCAAAACAATAATCTCAATGATAAATTGAACTCCAATATCACTGCTTACCATCACTGACAAATCCATAATATGAGACTGTCAACCCAAAATGAATAACACCTGATTTGATCCATTCAACAGCAAAAACATCGGTTGCAGTAAGACCACCCTAGGAAAAAAAATCATCATACAGCATCAGTGATGAAAACATAGCTAATATTAAACTTGAAACAACCAAGAAGAAGAAGTGAGGAATGGTCAGAGAAATGTCTATAAAAATCATCCATTCAACAAAAATTTTTATTTGATCATGGAATAACTTTATAAACATCCTAAGTTGACCATAAAAATTTTTCACCTTCACAATAGCCATTGCAGCAGAAATAGGATCTCTAACTCCAAGAACAGTCCAAATTAACGAGTTATCAGAACCTGCAGGTATTATTCCAATTGGAATAGAAATTCCTTCTTTTTGGTTGTCTCTACTTAATAGACCATTCAAAACCTGCATAACCGCCAAGGATGATGTGATTACTTCTTAATATACCATTAAAGAAATACAAAGCCAAAAAAATTTATAGAACTAGAATAAGGTGAGAGGAAAGAAAACATGGAGGCTCGATAAATAGAGCAAGACCTTTTTTTTTTTTTTAATTTTAAACCAACTTTCAATAAGAGAAATTAAAAAAAGAAACAAGATGCCTCACAAAAATCAAGGGACAACTCAAACTACACCATGACACATAAGAACCGCAACCATTGTTAATACCCGAATAGAAGTACCAAACAAATAGATAAATGGCTAACCTCATTAATAATTCCATCACCTCCAACACAAATAATTCCTGAAAATTCGAGGGGTGGATTCATTATTTAAAGAAGGAAAAGATAATCAGATATATATATAAACCAGAAATAACATTGGTTTATTATAATCGAGCACATCAAATAGCAATACCATCGGGACAACTGCTTATGTCAACACTAGATGCAAGCTTCCTAGCATGACCTGCAGATGTTGTTTTAACCACCTCCAATTTGAACCCTGCAAGCTGTTGAGTTTGCAAACAAATAAGCACAACAGAGTGAATCTATCTAATCCATGGTAAAGCTTCCAAATCAATTCACCCAGAAATAGGCAAAGATCCAAATTTACAACTTCACTCAAGAGTAGGGATGTTCAACTTCCTCAATGAGTTTAATACTAAATCTTAATACAAAAAATCCACAAATGGAAGAGTTTAACTAGTATTAGATCCAAGATAAATTCTTAACTAAACAGAATGTGATTCTATTTAAAAGGAAACAGAGTGCTTAAGATACATGGCTAGAGCGTGGATAAACCGTACCTTAAATATTGGTTCAACAACCCCGTTAAAAACTTTAGTTGAACGACCTCGACCAGAGCGCGGATTTAATATCACAAGCATTTTTGGTGGATTCTTGCATTTGAAAAGTAACTCAGGTGGAGTATCAACAGGAATTAATTCTGAAGATGCCTGCTTTTTTGATGAGAGTAAGGGGTGCGGCAAACAGTTCACATAGCAATGCTGGTCTGCAAAACCACCAACCCACTGAACTGCCTCTTCAACGTTAGAAGCCAAAAAGCGATAATCTTTCCGCTTTCTCCTGGCCTTTATAAAGCAAGAAAGACCACATGGACCTTTCTGCAGTGGATAAGAATGAATTGTAAAATGCCTGAGACCAACATTGTACGAGACCTGTCAAATAGGGTAATGTATAGTATCATTAATGCGTCAATACAGCTAACAGACAAAAAATCGAACCTTATGTTTTAGTGAGATGTAAAGAAAAGCTTACCGAAATGACATCATCCAGACGGAGCATGTGAGAACCCCATACTAAAGCCGTGCTGGTAAGTTTAGCATCGAAACCTTCCTGATCAGCTATGCCAGTGTTGTTCTGCATTACATCAGAAGTATTCTTGTCGGTAGTCTTTCTCTTGTCCAAAACCAGCTTACCCGACAATACTGTATAGCCCAATAAATCAGACTTTTCATCTCCTCCGCCTATGTCAATCCTATGCTCAAAGCTCTTTGGCTTGTCGCGATCATCAGCGGAGGTCATGGTGAACTTCGAGATAGAGGAATTAACCTCACTGCCTCGCCTGGAAAAAGACTTGGTCTTGCTGCGCTTCTCAGGGAAGACGATGGGCGACGAGTGTTGTCCGCCAGTTGCTATTTGCGAGCACAACCCCAATCGCCGAATAGACTTCTGAGGCGTTGTCAGCCTCAAAGACGATGAAGAAAGACCATTTTCATTACTGTTCCTAGAGAGGCCCTCACTCTGCTGCATATCTATACAATTCCGCCCCAATATATGAACAGGCAGGCACTGCGAGAAATACGCACATCCAAACCCGCACTCAATGTCCTCTACACATGAATAATGAGTACGAGACGAAAAGATGGGAGTAATTTCGTTTCAAATGACCAAAAAGTTGAGCTGTATACGCTGATCCGACTCTCCTAAATCCCAACTGTACTAACAATTCAAACAATAAAAGCTCACAATTACCCACGCAATTGCGTGAAAGATCGGATCAGCCTATAAGCGCACGCAAATCAAATTCTAGGGAACACAAATGGCCTTCAATTCAGCAATTAAACCAATCGGACAAATAAAACGATGAATACAGAACGAATTTTGACGCAGTGTGCCTGAAAAACCTAAGGAGCTAATTCAGATCTAATGCTAGCCGAATCTGAAAAAACCGCGGGCAATTTTCGATTAACAACCCTACCAATTTCAGTTCATGCCCGCCGTAGATCCTCGCTCGCCGAATGATTCCGCTCGAAGGGGTTGCCCACTCAAACCTAAAGCCTCTGTCATTCGGAGCTCGCCATCAAAATTTTCTTTTCTGCTTTAATGGCGAGGAACCTTCACTTTTTTTTTCTTTTTTTTTTTATTAATAAAATCAGGAAATAGCCTCCTGCTACCTTGCTGAGTTTAGTGGAATAGTTGGTGGATAAAAATAAATGAATGAATATTAAATAATAAATAACCCCAGAAGAGCTTCCAAATATAAATTTTTATCTCTTATTTTATCTCTTGAAAAAGTTCGCTTTAAAAAGTCTAAATAAATATATGTTACAAATACATTATCGGGTAGGTACATGGATAATATTGATAGATTTTATGTTTAGATATAATTGAAACCCAAATATAGTTTTCATTTTGGTTTATTTTAATTTCAGTATTTTTAAAATATTTATTTTTCTCAGTTAATTTTTTTTTCATTTAGTCCATATCCTTTGAAATGTATTGGTTACGTGATGAATTTCAAAATGATGACGGATTTCAGATCAGTTATATTGTTTTTGTTTTTGTTGCTTCATGATTTTGGAGGTTCCAAATTTCAAATCTTAAAATTAGTGGATTTTACGAGATTTCATAAAATTTCATATTTTAATCTCTAATTAATAAATTTAGATTCAAAATCTAGGTAAAATTTTTATTTTCTTTTAATTTTCAACGAACAACCAAACAAATAAATTTAATTTAATTCATTTCAAAACATTATCATTCAAAACAAGATAAAAAAAAAACTTTTAATAACTCATTAGGTTTCAAATCACATAATTTAAAATCATTTTTTGAACACCAAACAAATGATTAGGGCATGTTTGATAGTAATTTTAGCATGACTATAATCATTTTTACTTATTCGTACTAAAATAGCAAATAGAATGTTGGTAAATGATTCATGAAGCATTTTAGATTAGAAGTGATTCTCTAAGTGATATTTGACTACATTATTAATAGAAATTTAATATTTAAATTATTATTGTTTTCATTTTCAGATTTTCACCTGAAAATTTGAGAGCTTTTTTCTACTTTCTAAAATTTTTGTTACTCTCTAATTTTGTTTACCCTCTCTAATTTTTTTCTTTGAAATATTTTTAATCTCTGCCTACGTTTATTTCTCTATCTAAATAATTTTTATCTCTCATTTCCTAAGGACCTAACATTTGTGTTTATTGTTTGTGTTTCTTTATTCTTAATGAAGAAAAATGTATGACATGTTCCAACCTCAAAGAATTCAAGTATGATAAAACAATATTTTTATTTATATTTTTGAACAAATTGAAAATAGAAACAATAAAGAAAAACTTGTTTTTGTTGTTTTCCAAAAATTGAAAAAGTAGAGAAAAAAAAACAAAGTTGTAAAATGCTTAGATTGGTTAAAAAATCTAAACCTTATTTATATAAAAATGCTAGTTGGAATCACTCTGACAAACAACACATTGGATTAATTAAACTATACAAATAGAATTTGACACCTACCATTTTTTTTAATGTGAAAAATGATCTTAGAGTGTCTAGAGTTGGCCAGGAGGGTTTCTTAACGCCTTCTTTTTTCTTCTCATCGGAGTTATTTCACAAAGACTTGTCATGGTAAGGAAGAAGGGGGAACAAGCACACTTGGAGAGCGCAGTACAACGGAGAGTTGTATGCTGCGTTCGGGAAGGATGAATCGCTCCCGAAAAGGAATCTATTGATTCTCTCCCAATTGGTTGGACCGTAGGTGCGATGATTTACTTCACGGGCGAGGTCAACATATTAGGGGAGGGGATTCAAACTCATAACCGAGATATATATCAATTACAAAACTATGTTCGTTTTGGCAATTTGATACCTACCATTATTTGTGGAATCTACTTGTTTTATATCTAATAAAACAAACACGTAATTTCCATGATTTTAAATTGTGGTCCGTACAAAATACCTTTTTTTTTAATGTATGCCGTTTTTTTTTTCTCCTCTGGACTGCGATTCTAACGGTGGAATCACTAAAGAAGATTTTAAAGAAATTAATGATTTATTTGGGGTTGATTTCGCATTACTAAAATTATTTTTAGCATAGATCAAAATTACTCATTAAGTTTTATCTAATAATTTTCTTTATTTATTTTAGGTCTATAACTAAATTATTTGTATATTTTTTGAATTTGAGCTCTTAAATGTTTCCAACGGCTAATTTTTTTTGGTAGGTCTTACTAATTGATTATGCAAGCTAGATATTTATGGCATAAGATTTTGAGATATAATTTTTTATATAATTCGATAAGTACATTGTGAGTTATTTTTCTTTTGTGAGAATTCTATCAAGTCTTGGAGAAGACACATCCACTATTGAAAGGAGTTACAACACAAAGAGAAACTTGTGTTTGGAAAGACCCAATCAAAGAAGTTAATAAGTATTTGCGGCATGATTTAAGAAGAGAGTTATTTTATGCACAAGTCAACTTTTATGGTAATTGTACTCACTTTTTTAATCTTATTCTCTGAACATGGCTTCGTGGAGTAGGTTGGAAAACCGAACCATTTAACGTCTTTGTGTTATCGGACTTAATTGTTTTACTTTCTAAGATACAAAAGATTGAAACTTTATAAATTGAATAATATTTTAGCAAGCTAGATATTTTCAGATCAAATTAAAAAATTGATTTTATAATGATTTTGAAAAATCAATTATACTGATTAATTCTACTCGCATGTGTTTGAGAGTAATTTTAGCAGCATCAAAATAACTTTTGTGACTGTCAAAATCACTCTACTCCCCATAAATTAGGTTTAAGAAATTAAAAAATTGATTTTAAAAAAGTTTAAAATTAAATTTTAAAGATGTGATGATTTTTTATTTTCAAAATCACTAGTACCATTACTCTCGAACGCACCCAAAAAGTTGATGAAAATATCTAGATTACAAGGGTAACGAAGAAGTAATTGTATATAGTTAGTGGCAATGTAATTATAAAAGTTATTTTTCGCCGAAACTAATATCAAAAAATCCGTTTTAGAAAATTAATGTTGGTTGAACTACTTTTTACCTGAAATAAACAAAATCTATTGAAATTGAATTAATCCACTATTTTTCAATTTTATATTTGAAATTAAAATATAAATTTAGTATATGATTTTAAAATGTCATAATCTTGCGATTTTATAATTATTTAATAAATCTTAAAATTTAAAATTTATATTTAATAAATCATTCCACTTTTAATTTTGTATCTATTTGTGACAATTCTTTTAAATTTCAGGAATTTGACACAAAACTAAAATTAAGTTCAAAATTTATTAGACAATTCATTTTTTTTAGTATGATAAATGTTAGGACGAAGGATCTAAACATCAACCTAGAGTATGATGCCTTAATCGTCGAGCTATGCACACAACTCTCAAAATTAATAAATTGAACTTATAATTTAACTCATATCTATAATGATAAATTACACTACATAACATAAATATAAGGGACACTCGTATGTACGATAAAATAAACACAGTTAATGATAAATATAGCAAAGAATGATAGATTTGCAAAAATAGCCAAAGAAAAAAAGACTAAAATAATATTTGAATGTATATCATATGTGTGATATAATATAAGTGAGTGATATACAACGATAAAAAAATTAAATTACATAAAAATGTCTAAATAGGCATGTGAAAAAATTAAAAGAAAATTACATTTTTTCAAAAAAATCATAATTATGTTGCCATAGGTGCAAATATGACGATGTGACTTGTGATTAAAATACGTAATAAATTCAGTACGTAAACAAAAACCAACGTGTTGATTTACTTAAAAAAAAAACCAAGGTGTCGAAAGTATGGAAACTAAAATGAATTGATTAGGAGGTCATCCGACCCAAGATTGCATCAAAGCACACTTAACTTTGTAATTTTTATGATCGGATCACCAAAAATAAAAATAGTAACTATCAATTCTTTTAAGTATTTCTTACTTCCATGATCTCTGATCTCTGATCTCTGATTCTCATGTACCTGCATCTCTACTTGAACGTCAAGATATTCGAAAGGGATGTTTTTGGGATTACAATGATTGAAATCATCATGAGTGATTCATTGATCCAAATTCTACCGAAGATTAGTTTAGATACACATAAGTTGGTCGATCACTCATGAATATAAAAAAATATATATATATATATATATATATATTTATTTATACTTATTTATTTTAAATAATTTTGGCTTTCAGACCAATCTATCACAATAAGTCAAACTCAACCAAAATTTATGATCACACTTGCGTTGATTACTATGCTTATCCCCTGTGTTTATATGGTTGGCGTTACGTTTCAATCTTGGAAAACAAAAAATCCAAAAAAAAAATATTTTATTTTTCTCAAAAACCGTTTTTCGTTAATCGCGATGAACTGAAACTCGTCGCCAATCAAAAAAGATGCATAAATTCATCGCCTGAAATTCTCAGAATCCAGAATCGTTCTTCTCCTCCTCCTCCATGGACGATCTTCCGCCATCGATAGTTCTCGAAATCCTGAATCGATTGGCCGATTCCGCCGATTTGGCTCGGTGCCGAGTCGCATCCAAAGCTCTCAATGTTCTCTCCCGCGAGGTTAGGTCACTGAACCTCTTCTGCTCATTGGATCGCTATCTCAAGTCTAGGGCTGTGGAGACGAAGCCATTGGTGACGCCTTTCAAGGTCATATTGAAGACTCTAATGAACAATTTTCCGGCTCTCGATTCTGTGTCGATCGGTGTGGAGAGGTCACTCGGACGGATTTCTTATGAGCACGACGATGTTGAAGATTGGTCCGATGATTTGTACCTGACGGATGCTGGCTTCGCTAGGGATTGGCTGCCGGCGATCGGTGGAGATTTGACGTCCTTGTCGATCGTCGATTTTTGGGTTCAATCTTGCTGGAGACAGTCCGAGATTTTGGCGCTGATTACTTCGTGCTGTGAGTTTCTGTTTTGCCATTGAATTGCTCAAAACCATAAATTTCTTCATGGAACTGTTTTTATTCATCTGAAATTCTATATGTTTCCCTGTCTGAAAGAATGAAACGTAAATGATTTTTTTTTTCCCAATTGTTGAAAACATTGAACTTGTGTGGCAGTTAATTCTGATTGATAAGAATATTCGACGGAGAAAAAGGAAAATATAAGGGATGGTGGTGAGAACGCAGAGAGGAATCTCCAAGTCTGCATGGATAAAAATTTAAATTCATCGTAGTCCATCCGAAGCTTTAAACTTCTGGTTCTACTTAAGCTTTAAACTTCATTTTTATTTTTTCATCTTGATATCGGACCAAGTAGTATCTATGTTTGAACTCATTATTGTTTCTCCAATTAATATTCTTAATCACTTTTCTTTTCTTCCGTGAGTACAATAAGATGTCGGGTATGATTCGAACCCTACAAATACTAGAATGTTAGGTTCTTCTCTTCCTTTTGTTGTAGAGTGGGCCATGGAGGTACCCGCTCACACTTTTTCTTACCGAAAATACGTTATTGTTAGCCTAAGGCAGGTTTAGCTATCCTCCCGAAGCTTTCATTTTTCAATGATTTGATTTTTGCCTAACTCACGACCTTGAATACAAAGGAGCTTGCAGGAGGTTATCAGTGTCAAATTGAACTATGTTCGGGTTGGCATCATGATCTTGAAATCTAGTGAAATGATGTAGTTGTAATAATTTGGATGAGACTAAGAAAGAGGAGCTAGCTAATTTTCTCCAACCGGTAAAAGTGCATTGGTTTATGCTTGTAAGTTTTTTCGGACTTAAGTTCACATGGATCAGAGGAAGCACTGGTTTATGCTCGTTTGAAGTGATTTTCATTATAATCTCTGTGGCTTTTTCAATTCAAAATAGGTCCATGATCTTAAATTTTCTTGTTAATGTCCATTATTGACCTTGACTTGTTTCTCCATGTAGGTCATAATCTTCTGGAACTTGAACTGAAGAATGCTTGGTTGTCAGTGGATGGCTTGAACAAAATGAGTTCCCTCAAACGTTTGACCCTTGAATTTATAAGGTTAGATGATGAAGATCTGAGCAAGCTTAACCATAACTTCCCTCATCTTGAAGTCCTAAATTTGATAGGGGTTGGAGGCCTAAACGAACCGATAATTCATCTGTTGCACCTCGAAACCTGTCGATGGACTGTGTCAAATGCTCCGGTTTCTCTGAGCATTTGCGCACCGAGACTTTCGAGACTTGAACTCAAATGTGTCAAACCAAAATCTCTGATCATTGAAACTCCAATGCTATCTGATTTCCATCTTTCTCTGGAAGATGCAAGTGGGTTGCAAGTCAATGAATTCCCTTGCTTGAGAAAGCTTGAGCTTCATTCTCCTAGCCTCTGCAGTCTCATCACAACATTTTCACCTGCAAGAACTATCAAGGATCTCACACTAGGTACACTCCAACGCGCTGAAACCGTTGAATCCGTTAAGTTTTGCCTCGATACACTGTTTGAAACGTTTCCAAATCTTAGATTTCTTAAACTTGGCCCCGGAGTTCTGTCAGAAGTCGAAACTTATTATCGAGCTGGAGGTTCGGATGGACGGATGGGGATGAGAGATTTGAAAATGTTTCATAGTAGCCTTAAAACCTACAAGATTGAGTTGAAATTCCCTTTCATCATTTCCATTTTGGACAAATGTACCGATTCCTTCGATATGGCATTGCTGATCTATCACAATGCTGATTCTGGCTCTGGTAGTGGAATCATGTCAAAACGTTCTACTAATCATCCAAGACCAAGATGGAGATGGGAACTTTGGAAAGAAGGATCAAGAGAAGCGTGGGGTAATGCCATATAATCTGTCAAATGCTGCTGCAATTATCATAGTGGTGGAACAAACTTTTGCTTCTGAAGATGGAGGGAAGTTCATGTTGGTTAACTTAAGGCTTCCCTTGTTTGAATTTGGCAGCCTTATGGGGGTTGTAAGATAATTCCAAAGATTTCAGTAAGTCAATGGAATGATCGAAAAGCAACTTTGCTCAAGATCCCGAGTCTTTAAGGACCCGTTTGGTAACGTTTCTATTTCTTACTTTTGGTTATTTGTTTCCTCTTTTGGTAATTGTTTATTATGTATTTTATAAGTAAAGAATCATAAAATAATGTTTTTATTTATGCACCGAAAAAAATTGGAAATGGAAACTAAAGTCAAGAAACTTGATTTCATTGTTTTCAAAATTGTTTCTAAAATTTCAACCCAACACAGTTTTGGAAAAATTTCTCAAAAAATGAGAAAAGAGAAACAATAATAGTTACCAAATGTGTATGTTTTTCAAAAACTGAAAATGAGAAACAAAAATATAAGAAATGAGAACGTTATTAAATGGACAAAATTTCGTTTGAATGTTTTACGTGCAGATTCTTTGCTTGAAGGCCCCTGTTGTTATTTGGTCGAAGAAAACTGTTTGTTGGTGGTGAGAAATAAAACAATAGTTGAGAAGTCTGAGAAAAGGGTCAGTTCTTTTACACCTTCATTGCTACTAAATGATAGCCTGAATAACGTTTGGTGTGTGGTGTGCATACTTCCAACCAGATAATGACATTTTTACCCCTACACAAGATTATATGGCTGTGATGTCTCTTAGTTGTATAGAGAATTATTAATATGTATCATATACAGTTTCATCAATGAATGAATTTATGTTGTGCTCAGAGAGTGAATGAAATCTCTATCCTACTCTTTAAGCATGCAAGACCGAGACTGAAATCTGTCATGCACTACCAGGGAACTTGGCATGTTTGTATATTGTTTTTTTCTTGATGAGAAACCGAGCTAAGCAAGGCATGCAAAAAATCAGTCTGAGGAAAGGATGCAGACCGAGAATTGACAGAGGTGACCTGTAAAAGTTTTCGTTTTGCTCAAATAACCTACATTTTCAAAATATCTTTTTCTGAACCACTTAAAACATTTATTAAATGTCAGAGTAGGTAAAAAGACTATTACACCTCTTAATTTTTGAAGTTTGAAGCATAAAAACTTGGCCACAACTTGGGCGAGTTCGAAGAAGACTAGCCCGAGTTTTATGCAATTGTTCTGGGTTGGTGTCCGAGGCGAGATTAATTTTTGTCTATATAAATTAATAGTTGGCCCTAGGGATAATATTTACTTTGGCGGAGTGGATTGGACATTAGGGATTATAGAGTGGGCCTGAGTTCGATTGTGGCGGATGTTTTGTTTATTTTTTCCTGTTTAAAAAAAGGCATAAAAATAAAAAATTGGGTTGGGAAGAGAATTGATAATACATAATTTATCAAGCCAAGCAATGGTTTACGTTGAATCTTACCCCAAATCATAGAAGCTCGCTCGTGAACCAATGATTCCAGACAAATTGCATAACTCAGGCTGGGTTTTCTTCGAACTCGTCCAAGTTCTGCATGAATCTTGGTCAAATTTTCTTCAAACTCGTCCGAGTTTTTGTCTGAATCATGGGCGTGTTTGCATGAATCTCGGACGAGATTTATGAATTTCTGGCCAGATTTATGCAATTTCGGGTGAGGTTCAAACTCAATATTTATGATCATTTAATTTCAACGAACCCAGATTAACAAAAATCAAAGGGTCGAGATTTATGAATTTAAATATGAGATTTATTCCATTTTAATTTCAATGAATCCAAATAAATCATAGATTTATCTGAATCACCACATGAATAGTAAACCCACCCTATCAATTTCTACTCTTTTTTTTTTCTAAGGGTAAATCTCTCTTTCATTTTTTTAAACAAAAACACAAGAAATTTGGAAGAAACGAAAACGAGGGAGAGAGTTAGAAGAAGAAGATAGAGAGTTACAAGAAGAAAAGAAACCAGGGGTATTTTTGTACTTCTACCTCAATTGTTATGTCAAAAAAAGAAGATTTGAGTCAAAAAAAGATATTTTAAAAAGGTAGGTCAATTGAGCAAACTCTACACTTTTTTGGGTTATATATGTGAATTTCCCGAAAGGAAGTCCACCTAGAGAAAGGGACTCAAGTCCAAAAAAATAACACCTATTTGATAATTACAAAAAACCTTAGAAACAGACATAAGTATTAAATCTAATAAGCTCCAAAACATAGATCTTTCGACCTCTCTAAAAAATTATATTATTTCTCTCGAGCCAAACTCTTCTAAAAAAAACAGTCTGACATTGAAACCTTCCCTTACCCTGAAAGGAGGAACAACAAAACCTCCTCCTTTAGCACCCACCCGACAATTCCTATTACAAGTCCAAGACACCCGAAACAACTCAAAGAAACCCTACACAAGATGTGTGCAAGATCTTCCAAGGCACTTTTGCACGTTTTTATATTGTACATGCAGGTATACACTGCTCATGATGTCATTTGGAAGGTTGAACACGAACTTCAATAACAACTAAGTTGGTATAGTCCTAAGTGAGCTCGACTAGAAATTCAGTCTACCGTGACGTTTTTTTGGAGTCACAAAAATCTTTCGTAACATTATTGGCGTCACGTATACGCCCATCACGAAAGGTATACGAGACGGTTAAAAATCGTCACCAAAATTGGTACACGTGACGGTTAATTAGCGTCACGAATGACATCAACTTCCACGAAGTTTATAAACCGTCATGAAAAATGATTTCGTGACGGTTAGAGAATGTCACGGAAAGATCTTGAAAAGGAGAGGAGAGGTCACGTGAGATCCTTTCGTGACGGTGTTTAAACGTCACGGAAATTGTTTTTCGTGACGGTGTTTACACGTCACGAAAAGTGAATTTCGTGACGTTTGATAATCTTCCTAAAAATATTTTGGTGACGGTTTAAAAACGTCACTAATGATTTCATTTTGTGACGATAAAAAGAGGGTCACTGAATACGTATTTAATTTTGATTGTAGATCTCGCGAAATATAAATATCATATTGTTAAATTGTCGTTCGAACACGCAAATATATTAATTTACCATAACAAAGTTGAAATATATTAAACATGAACAAGGAAGCTAATATATTAATTTAGAATGTATTAGTATTCTTAAACACAAATTACATAATTACAGAATTAAACATGTTCTTTACACACCAACCCCAACAACGATGCTCAGCCACCACTTAGTTGCATTTCTAATTGTCGCATCTTTGGGTTAAGAAAGACCTAATGAAAAAACAATACCCAAGTTAGATAAATAACTAAACAAAAACCAACCTACTCATCAACATTCATAGTCTTCCTTATAACCTTACTCGATAATATAATAAGACAACCAACATAACGACYAAAYAGAAGAAGTGCGATTCAAATAAACGACATGCCTACACTTTTTCTACATYCTTAAATTACRTAGCACAAAATATCAGTACAATCATAATATAAGGAAAGTATCAATATGATATGATAACGAACAAAATTATSAAACAAAGTTCTAACATAACTGAAGAGGTTACAATAACAAAAATAACCGAACAMTTAYTCTATATCCTTCAGCAGCATARCACAAAATGAACTTAAACAATATAAYACAAACTAGCTAATATAGCAGAGGGATTGTAAACGTACATTCCTTKTCTATAATCAATATTCAGTATTTCTTGTAAACGTACTCAATAATATAGCTATAGTCCCAGCATATAACAAGTTCGATTCATAAGTATTTAATATTCAAATGWTATAGTATGAATGATGACGAAAAGCTTAAAATAGCTTACCTTTGTTATGATGGAACTTTGAATGAARCGGCCATAACATGCTTCAGCTCACCCGAACRCAGTTCGACAAGCATTTCTAGTGCGAAGATTGCTCCTGTCATATAAACCAATAATAAGCAACTTAGGAAAATGAGCTTTCTAAAAAACTTGACATAAACAACAACATCCAAACAAAGTATTAAATAATACAGTACCGCATATGCGTTGAACTACGAAGCCGACCAAAAATTTCTTGTCTGAAAAAATAGATACGTCAAAGTAGTGTGTCTGACGAAGTAGTTCTACCAGAAAATTTAAATATTCAGATTACTCTAAGTACTACACCTTCAAATGAATAAACAGTGATATAGTTAACAACTCACACCAAAGTTTTTCTCTTCGTCATGAAAGTATAAGGTGGCCAGCATTCCAAAAAATAAGCGMGACAAAAGTGTTGCTACCAATGCATCAACCATGAACTCGAACAATGTGCAAGCAAAAAAGAATATTATATGCAACATGAGTTCATGGTCGGCCAAAAAAAGTAAATACACATCTTATGAAAAAGTAAGGTAGGACCCAACAAACTCGGCCCACTCCATTCTCAACACGTTTATGTTGTCTTTTGTGTATTCTTTCGATTCAAGTTTCATCTGTAACCATAGAATCAGTAATTAATTAAGTTCGAGACATTCGCATATATACATATGTTTTGACATTCATACAGGCTAAATTATTACTTACTACATCTGTGATCGAAGTGCTTTGTTGGTTTACTATGGCCCGCAT